TTTCCCTACAAAGATTTCTACAAAGGTGTTTGGGGCTTAATGTCCTAAATCCCTCAAGAAATGTTGAGAGGTTTTGACTGTTGAAAGGAGAAAGCATAATAAAGTCCTCATTAACAACTTGAGCAGTGGAAGAGTCTTCAGTCTTAGCACATTTGATACCATACTGAGGGGAGCAGTCAATAAGCCAAAGGGTAGGCCTTAGCAATAGATGAAAAGATCTTGACAGATTGGACAAATGGTCTCATGGTACACTCAGGAAGTTGAATCAAGTAATGTACCTGAAATAGAGTAGCCTTGTACTTCGGTACAGGATGAGTGAAGGCTATCTAGGAATGAACTTTGCAGAACAAGAACTGGGGGGTCCTAGTGGACAACCAAGACAACTGACTTGAACATTAGGGAGCAGTGTGTCTGTAGATGTAAGATTGGACCACATTCGAATTTATCCAGCATGTTGGCAGAAGTGATTATTTCCCTCTATTTGTAACTGGTGAGACTGCATCTGGAATACAGTGTGGAGTGTTGAGCCCCTGGTACAAGAAGAGACATAATGGAGCAAGTTGAGCAGAAGAGGCTGAAGCATGTGATGAAGTAAGAACTGACTTTCCTGAGCCTGGAGGAGAACAGGTTAAGGGGTGGATTAAGTTCCTGTCTTCCAACTATATAATGGGAGAGGTGAGAAGGCAAAGCTATGCTCTTCCCAGATGTGAAAAAACTTAAGAGGCAAAGGAAACAAGCTGCACTGTTGGGAGTCATGTTTTTGTTATGAACGTGATCAAACATTACCTGATTGCTCAGTGGCTATGGAATCTCCATTCTTGGAAATGTTAAAAACTTGACAAGAATCTGAACATCTTGAGCCATCTTTGGTATTGGATATCCTATTGCTTGAACTTGGAGCAGGCTTCTGGACTAGATAAGCTTCAGAGGTCTCTTCCAACATGAATCATTCTGTGATTCTGTAATTCATAAATTCTGACCTGACTTAAGTGTTATCTGGGTGCTTCTGTCAAAATTGAATTGCATCTAACCTGGTGTGCTTAAAGTAATAGAGAGAAACACCAGGTCAGACCTATGATAGGCTTTGCCTTCTGTAGGATTTTTGCAGGTCAGTTTGGTTGAGTGCTATTTTTAGGTGCTCAAGTCTGTTAACTGATCTAGCCTGAGATGTTAAAAGAGGGATAAAACTAGATGTGAGTACCAGAGTACTGCTTTTCCAGTGGAAACTATTTTCTTTTTGTAATATTTCATTTTATAGAAAGCATGTAGTATTTTGTTGTGTTGTGTTTTTTTGGATCGTGTGAGTTTTGTTTTGGTTTTAAAGCTGCTTTTCTAAAAAAGTCAAGTTTGATATGATACAATAAATTTTATTTAAAATATCTGATTTACTTAATTAACTTATATAATTACTTAATTAACTAATATATACATAGGTAAATACACAGTTGAATTGACTGATAGAGGTATTTATGTGTAACCCCTGATAGTAATATACTCTACTCACCTGTGTGACGTGTCATTTGCTTGTTACTTTCTGTAACTTACTTGTATTTTTAAAACTACATATTTAACATAATGGGTTCTTTTAAAGTCCTTTTGTGCCTTACTGGTAATTTGGATTGAAAGCATGAGTTTCAGTGAGTCAGTGAAATCACTGTTTCTTTCTTCCCTGCTCACTGAAATATTCTGACTATTTCAGTTGGTCTTTACTTGCTGCTGTATATAGTCTACATAGTATACACAGTAATAAAAAAGATTTCTTCTTCTGTGTTTGGTGTCTCTTATAGGACCAGTCATAAAAGGAATCCTAAACTCACTGTTTTCTTACTGATTGTGAGTCTCTGCATCCTTCATTAATGAGTTTTAATACTAAATAGGATATTTAGAATATCAAGAATATAATATTGAACAGTATCATCTCTCAGTTTCTCAAACTGTACTTTTTGTTTTATATATGTCTTAACAGTACACTCAATAGTAAGCTCACAGGATTTTGCTGTTAGTTTTAGATCTTTTTCCTCATTTGGTCATACGATTTATTTCATGCTTGCGATTTTAAGAACATGCTTAACTCATGCAAGGTCTGAAGTTTTGGAGGACTTACATAATTTTGGCAGCTTTTCAGTCCTTGTTTACATTTTACTGGTAAGAATGTTTTTGTGTGCTCTGAAAATAGCTTTATATCTTGTGTACCTTGTGAATGAGCAGTCATCAGCTATTAAAATCCTTTCATGCATCTCCTTTACTGATGTTATTGAACTATGTGGAGCTTGTTTGGCTCTTAACTGAGGACATCAGTCACTGAGAATACTTGTTTTTGGTATGGTCTAGCACTGCCTTCCTTTGCTTTTATTACACCATTTGACACTGATTCTTTTTGGGGTTTTTTTGAAAGCTAAATCAGATCATTCAAGAGACTGGGTTTTGAAAAGCATTTTGTGTATCTTAATAAGTAATAAATACCTCATTTCTGCTGCATTGTTTTCTCTGATTCACAGTGTTGCAAATACTCTTTTCAGATAAAGAAGGAAAAACAATTATGCAAATAATTGAGCAGAATGTAACTTATTACTTTGCTTGCAAATTACATACAGTGTGAAGCTTACAACATATAAATTAAGATGGTGTAGTCCAGTAACATAATTAGAAGTCAGTGGATGGCGTCTACAGAGATAAAGAATAAAGATAGTATTTGTGCTTTCTTGTATGTTAAATTCTTTAGATATCATAAAATTGAACAAGGAAGGTGAGGGAAGTTGAGGATGGATAGTTTGTGTTTGAAAAGGCTTAATGAATTTTCAAGTTGTTAAAATACAGGAAGTATGTTGAGAATTTTAGGTGCAGGTTTGAAATAATTCAGTAACTTGCTTTCTTGTATTAGCTGTGCTGTTAACTGTGAGTTTGGTATTTTTGGCTGTTTTATAAAATCTAACTTAAATACTTACGTTTATAGAGAGTAAAATCAAATTGGCAACAAACTTTGAGCATATTCTCATGTTCTCTTAATTTGATTTCACTATAGATTCTGCAGCTGAGGATGTGTACCTTGTACATGGAATGCCCATTTTGGAGAGCATAAAAGGCTCAGGACATTTTCTTTGGTGTCATGCAATTACATATTTTTTTTTAATGCCTACTTAGGACAATTTCCTAAGTACAAACCTTATTTTATAACATCAGACTTCTTGATACCACAAGATCGGTACATAAGAGAACTGTTACACAAGTGTAGAACTCTCTAATGAATGAGAAGTGATCAGAAATTATGGTAGTGTTTTGTAGCCAAACTAGAGGGGGTGATTGCAGTGTTAGCACTTACCCTGTCCATGCAAAACCTCAATTTCTAGCTGACTGTTCAAGAACTAATCTTCTCTAGAAAATCTTTCTAATCCTGGAGTCTCATTAGTGTTTTATTTCATGTTAGAACAGATAATTTGAAGACTCAGAACATACTGTAGTGCTTGAATGTAGTATCTACTTAAATTCTGGCATTTCTCAGTTGATTTGACTTAGCCAGGTGCTTTCTCTCTACTTTTTTTTTAATAAAGTGTACATTAAGTTACATGATGTTCAGTTTTGTACATAACCCCATTGCTCCTTTTGCATAACGTTAGTGAATCAAAGGTCATTAAGCCTGAGTTAAGACAGGCAGTAAAACCCGACTAAAAAGTAAACCAGATAAGGAGTTACTGCAGTATTTGGTGAAGTCTGTCTAAATTTGTATTAAAGTAAGAGTGGGAGATACATTTCAAAAAAGGCATAACTGGTGAACAATCGGTTGGGATCTGTGGAATATTGGAGATCCTCAGCACTTCATGGAGGTCACTGTAACAGAAAGGTAGCATAAAGCTTACATTGTCTTGAGAAATGATACCTGCCTTCTTGTTTGCTTTGGCAGATGCTCTGTGTTCCCCTACTGTTATTTTTACCATGCTTTACAAGAATACACAAGTAGTGCAATACATGCAAAGCTAGCGAGACCAGTCAGTTCTTATTTCATGCGACAGTAAAACTGCAAAGGGAATAAGAGTCATAGGGTTGTTGTTTTTCCAGCATGAATTAGTTTCTGCCCAGAATGACAAAGCCAGTAGGGATGCAAAAGTATGTGAATTGCTCTGCTGTCATATGGTTAGCCTCTAATTTTGATGAAGTGGCTCTTCAAAAGACACAACATCCCACTAAAAATCCCACAAAAAATGCGAACGAGATGCCTAACTTCACATTTTACTCGTGTCATTAAATAATTATTCCCCCCCATTATAGTTGCTGACTTCTGCACACATGCATGCTGTATCACTTGTTTTAAAAAGAAGAAACAGAAGAAAGGGAGAACAAAGCTTGTTTGGAATGTTGGCTTTGTAAATAAGACTTTTCTTTTCTGTTTTCCAGATACAATATTGCATAAACATGGGTGCATTTTTGGATAAACCAAAAACTGAAAAACATAATGCTCATGGCGCAGGGAATGGCTTGCGTTATGGCCTCAGCAGTATGCAGGGATGGAGAGTGGAAATGGAAGATGCTCATACAGCTGTTGTAGGTATTCCCCATGGCTTAGAGGACTGGTCGTTTTTTGCTGTCTATGATGGTCATGCAGGATCTCGTGTTGCGAATTATTGCTCCACGCACTTATTAGAACACATCACTAACAATGAAGACTTTAGGGCGACAGAAAAACCTGGATCTGCTCTTGAACCTTCAGTGGAAAATGTCAAGAGTGGAATCAGAACTGGCTTTTTGAAAATTGATGAGTATATGCGCAATTTCTCAGACCTCAGAAATGGCATGGACAGAAGTGGCTCAACCGCAGTGGGAGTTATGATTTCACCTGAGCATGTATACTTTATAAATTGTGGTGATTCACGTGCTGTTCTCTATAGGAATGGACAAGTCTGTTTTTCAACACAGGATCACAAACCTTGCAACCCAAGGGAGAAAGAGCGAATCCAGAATGCAGGAGGCAGTGTAATGATTCAGCGTGTTAATGGCTCATTGGCAGTTTCTCGAGCTCTGGGGGACTATGACTACAAATGCGTTGATGGTAAAGGCCCTACAGAACAACTTGTTTCTCCAGAGCCTGAGGTTTGTGAAATTTTAAGGGCAGAAGAAGATGAGTTTATCATCTTGGCTTGTGATGGAATCTGGGATGTAATGAGCAATGAAGAGCTCTGTGAATTTGTTAAGTCTAGACTTGAAGTATCAGATGACCTGGAAAAAGTGTGCAATTGGGTAGTGGACACTTGTTTACATAAGGTATGTAACTGTTTTATCCAAGCAGCTGTTCTAAAATGATCTTCTGTTTAGATGGGTACAGTGTTAACAGCAGTTTCTGGCCTATACTCCTCCTTTTTCCTCTTCCTTAAACTTCTGTACCCATTTGACTATCTAACCTTGTTGAGCCTTATCGTTTGTACCTGAAAAGGTGATAGCAATTGCAAAAGTAAAGGTTTATTATTTTCTCAAGTAACACTTGCATATAGTTCCAGCTCTAAACTGTTTCCAAACACAATTTTTTAAAAATGAGTTTTGTGCAAGGTATTTTGGTGGGGATTTTTTTTTCTTTTAAATTGGACGGTGTATTCTTTGCATGAAACCAGTCAGCACCATCTCCTCCTCTTCAAGGTATGGTTTCTCTGTCATTTGCAAGTGGTGTCCTCAGCAAATTGTTGTAGCTTAGATGGAGAAGCACTACTTCTACACCTGAGCTTGACTTTACTATTCAAATTTAGTGTTTGTTTGGAGCAGCTAGGGGTTGGTCTGCAAATGTTTCACAGGTATACCAATTCCAGCATTACCTAAAAGGTCCAACTCCTTCTAGTACCAACAGACTTCCTTCATTAGGCCATAGACAAAACATGCAGTTTTGAGGAAAATATTAGAATTCAGAATTCTAACCCTAAGGGGTAATTTTTTTTATTATTTTTTTTTCCCCAGAAATAAGGTTGTATTTCAGCATATGCCATACATTGCATGATTGGTTTAAATGCTGTGACTTTTCTGACCAAATAACTGGTCAGCCTTGTAAAAGGATGGTCATTCTATTTTACTATTCTATTATACTTGCAGTAAAACTGAGCCCTGATATTGTGCTTAATTTAGAAAGTCAGATCCAGGATCTCTGTAGGTTGTAACATTATTAGAATGTTGTCCTCTGTTTACAGGATATGAATTGAATGACATAACATTAACTGCTGTAAAAGGCAGGTGTCCCCATATGCTTGGTACAAAGAGGAACATGGAGCAACTCCTGAGTACTTCTGAAATAATTCATTCTAATGTCAGATTCCTGCTTAATTTCTTCAGGAGAAGGAGTTACTGTAATAGATAATAGGAACTGTCTGGTAGATTTGGCTTACAGAGAAACAATTTGTGGTGACTAATGACACTGAAACTTCTAATAAAAAAAAATTTAAAAAAATTGAGATGTTGATTTGAAACCAGGAGTTTAAATTGTGATTCTACTCAATCTCCTTGTAGGAGACTTAGACGCTTTTAAAATTTGACTCTGGATTAAAATTAAATTAAAATTAGTTTTAAAAATTAAATATGCGAAGGAAGGTGTCATCAGAGCTTACTAGTGAAAAACTGGCATTAAAGTCAGTATCTGAAAACATGATGGACTGTAAGGTCAGGTTGGCCATACTAAATAAATGTTTTGTACTTTCTTGAAGTTATGTATGACACAGGTGCATTCTGCTGGACAGATTTATACTGAATGTAATGTGTTACGTGAATGCTCTCATACTGAAATAAAGTAGTATCCGGAGCTAACTATTATAGTAGTCTAAGATAAGTATTCTGCATTTCATTTTGCAACATGAGGATTTTTTTAAATTGGCTTAAGGTCACATCTAATGACTGTCTAATTCCTGACCTCTCTTCTTGATACTGCTTTTAAGTGGTTGACATATAATGAAGTCCATTAAAATTTAAACTTTTAAGACAAGAATGTACAATAAAAAACTGTAGAATTAATTCTAGCAATTAGTTCAGTTGGGAAACTTAGAGGTACTTATTAACCAAAATACAGTTTTAATGTAAGGTTTCTTTTTTCCCCATGTATAACTTTAGTCTCATTTTTCTATTCACATCATTACTTGTCCCAGATGCAATACTATAGTTCCTAACTCTTCTTTTTTCTTTGTCATATAGGGGAGTCGTGATAACATGAGTATTGTGCTAGTTTGTTTTTCAAATGCTCCTAAGGTCTCTGAGGAGGCAGTGAAAAAAGATGCTGAGTTGGATAAGTACTTGGAATCACGGGTTGAAGGTAAGAAGTCAGTTTTCTTAATTAGAGAAATGCTGGCATAACCTTGAGCATGAAAACAAAAATACAGAAAGTCATGATGTCGCTGTATGTTGGCTCAAAATCAGGCCTGGCTTCTATTCTGAATTTTTGTATGTCAAGAAAAATATTTCAATCCATGTGTTAGTTTATCGTGCTATTTGTCAAGCGTTTTCTTAATTTGAGCTTTAGGTTTTTATTTCTATCTTTACAAGCCAAAATGCAGCCACTGACCTTGCAGAGTGTTTTATTAACTAAATAATTTATGAACTTTTTCATGTATTATAAAATATCTTTAAGATGGATACTTGCTTCCATTTTTTGTGAGTTTTTGAGAAAAGGTTGTGGTTTTTCATGAAGAAACTGCTTATTAATCTAGTTATCCAAACTATTTTCATACTGACAGCTTCTTCAAATGTACTTTTGCGAAAGCCTAACAGTATAAATGGTTAAAATACCTATGAATACAAGAGCCATAAATCATCCCTGTGGAGTCTGAAGTGTCTGTGTGAATAAATGGTATAGTCATCTAGAACTGTCATGGAGACCTAACCAGTTTCACTTAGTTACTGATTTTATAACCCTTTACTTACCTAGAAGATTGAATGCAACTTCTTAAGTAGAAACAGTGAAAAGAAATTGAACTTGATTAAGAATTAAAGACTTGCCCTTGTATATTTACTGCTTTTCTGCAGCATTCTTAATGCCAGAAAAACTGATGTTTGCAGCAGGCTTTCAAACTGTTGCTTCTAATTTAAAAATATTTTATGCCTGATTAAGTCTGTTCTAGGGTTTGACAACAGCTGTTGTAGTGGCCTGCCCAACTTCAGTCTTCTCAATTACTCTAGTCATCCAGGTACAGCTCAGTTTTGGTAGAACTGAGTGAAACTCGGGGCTGATACTGAAAGTTTGCCTTTTTATAATTTTATTCATATGTTGGGACAGTTTTTTTGCACAAGCAGCTGAGGCATGAAAATAATGGAGTTCTTGAAATAATTTACTGGGATAATACTGTGAAGTAGCATCATTGGAGAGAAGCAGTCATCAGAGGTTTTGCAAGCCCTGTTATGGTTCTTTAAACTTCTGTAATCTTATCAGAGGAGTCCTGAAGCGCTGTCGCCTACTTACGGTGATGCAGCTTATTAACCTATTTTTTGGAGTTACCAGTTACGGCAACAGTATTCAAAGAAGGAATGGGTTTACAGAAGGGAAGGCTGGCTGGGATAAGTTGTAACATTTCTTGACTTGTTTAAGCCCCTGACTGGAATATTCTGATCACTAGATCCAAGTTCAAGTGTGCTTCATAGAGAGTTGCTCCCTTTGTAGATGAATAATGAGTCACGTAGCATTCTTAGATACCTCCTTTCAGGTGCCAAAGACAGTGGTTTAGCTTTATGCTGCAGTATTGCTGTCCTGATGGTATTTTTCTGTGTTTGTATTGAATAATGTGCTACTGGCAGTCTACAGGACTGTTGAGCAGAGTTCTATGAAAGTAGTTTAAGTTGGAGTGCCAGGATGTTCAGGACTTGGCAGCTCAGAACCAGAATGAATCCACTCTCCTGGGACTGACAAGGTCTGAGTGATATAAACCACAGCTCTGGCCACTGACTGCCTGAGCTTTGAGCATTTTTTAAGGAAGAAGGTGTTACTGACCAAACTTTCTCAATGTTGATCTGGAAACTTTTCAGACTCTGAAGCATGTTGTGTATAATTTATAGAGGTAAAATACTTTCTTTTCTTATCACTATTTGTTGAGAATTACTAAACCAGGACTCTAGCACTATCACATAGGAGATACATGACACTTCTGTTTTAATTCTTGATTTGGGTTTGTTTGAATATCCAAGGCATCCACTGGATTTTTAGAATTATGGAATGGATTGGACATGTTTGTATTAAGAAGTAGTTTGTATCCAAATAAGTATCATCAGGTGTAAGTGAGAAATAATCTGTAGATCTAAGGGCATCAGGAATCTCCTGAGAGTGTAGAACAACAAAAATCTCAGACCTAACCATTCATAACTTAACACTAATTCAGTTTAAAGTGCAACACTGACATAGAAATGTATTTGCTGCCACTGTAACCTGATGACTGTGGTAAACTGTTTTGCCAATTAAGTATAAAAATTCTCAAACTCATTTTAATGCTAGAAAAGACACTGTAGATATTTTATACTTGAGTTTTTAATTTGTGTGAAACAGCTGTGAAAATCAGTAATGTTCTTTGTCTAGGTATATATTTTTTTGTTGTTATTTTACTTAAGCAAATGAGGTAAACTTAAATATTGGGGATTTTGTGTGCATTGGTGTTCCAGTATTCTAGATAGTTCATGTTAGAAACCTTAATTTTTAAATATGTGCATAAGAATGCCTTCAGGCCACAATACAAGTTATCTCTGAAGGCTCTTACATTGCGCATGGTGTCTTTATTTCTTGTTTAAATGGGATCTAAATTGAAATGACTTGCATATTTGTAGTTTGTTGAGACTAGGGAGAGCTAATGGTCACTTTGAATGTTTAACTCTAGGCAAGATTCTCAGAACTTGGCTTACATCCCAGGCTTCCTAGATGACAGTAGCTAAGATGAATACCTGTTATCTTCCTGTGTTGGAGTACATGAGCTGTTAGTAGGCTCTGGGTCAGAGCCAGGAGCAATTACCTATACTGACAGCAATGAGATGTGCAGACAGTGGTTACCTGTTAGTATTCCCTGCTTCTTGGTGGTTCCTCTGCTAGCAAATAGTTGAAAAACGTATGGACCAGCTGTGTGGTTTATTGCTTTCATAAGTGAATGCTAAGAAGATTAATAGAAAAGCTGTCTTAATAACTTCTGATTAGAGTGACTGGATTAACAGGATGACGTAAGAAGTGCTATTTGCTAGTAACAATGCAGTGTTGTAGCATAATTGAGCTACTACTTTAGTGTACCAAAATAACTTCTTAGCAGAAGTGTATTTTAGCTAACTAATACTATGCACACCAAAAACAAGCAGGGAGTTTTTAAGTTGGTATTGATGCTGAGCCAGTCTGAATGTAAATAATAATTATGGTTAAGCTTAAGTGCTGCAGAGAAATTAGTTGCTTCAAATCTTGGACTTCTGTTGCTTCAGCTCTTCTTGATTATTTTTTTCTTTTTCTGCATGAGTTCCCTGTGTCATTCTGTGTTCTGCTAATTGGACAGAGTGCAAGTCCTTTAAATGTCAAGTATTTAGCCAGGAATGAGAGTTAGCATATTTGAGGAAATTATGTCCCAAAGTGGAGAAAATAAAGGAAAACAGACTTCAGAGTAACTTGAAATATCTGCCTGCTTTCTACACGTTTGTGTTCATAATAAATTCTATGAAATTGTCACTTTGACATAACTATAGTTTTTACCATGTGTTTGAGCTTTGAGTATTATTAGTTCAGAAATTATATAGAGAAGCTTGAGCAAAATGTTTCAAACCACTATCCAGCATGGAGAGAATGGTTTGGAAAAAAGCAGTTTTATTTTTAAAAAGTTGTCCAGTTTAAAGGTTAAAGTAGTGAGCAGAAATGCTTTTAACTTGAACATAGAAGGGGAGGGAAGTGTTGAAATAGTAATAAAAAAAAAATTTGGAAGGTGGGAACATCTTTTTGGTTAGGAAAGGGCAACAGCCTGAATCAGTTTTGTGATTGTTTTTAGACTAAATGTAGTCTGGAAAACAGTGCAATAAATGAGCTGTACCTGAAAGGTCTAACTTCCTTTAAGGCAAAAAACTGAAAGCCTTAGTAGATAGATCGTGATGTGGATAATATGGATTTAATAATGTCTTCTAGTTATTTTCAAAAGACAGAAGTTGTATTTCATTAGACCTGTTCTAAATATAGTTTAGCACTTAGGGTAGTCTTCTTTGGGGGTATTATATTTACTATGATTTATCTGTAGTTCTAATGTGTTTCAAGGCTCTGAATGCGGTGAGCTAGGCGGCTAAGTTAAAGAATGTATGTTCCATTGCTGCAATTGATTGTCTATGGTGAGGATCTGTAGTAGATTTGCTAACATTTAAAGTACCAGACTAGATGATAACTGTTCATTCCTTTTGAAAGGCACATAAGAGACCTTGTTAGTGTAAAATTATTGTGTGCAACGATATTTCTTTCTCTGTTGAAGAATTAACAGCTCAGAAATTACATGCAGTTGGTTGATAGTAACAATTTTATATATATGTGTAGTAAAAACAATTTGAAAAAAACCAGCTCGTCTTAAAACTACTAGCCTGCAAAGATGGAGATGTCAAATATGTGAGTTCGCTTAGATACTCTCATCTTTCAGTAAGTCACAAATTTAAATCAGGGAAGCACTGGCACTCTAGTTTAAAATCCTTTGCTTTACTTTGCAGTGGTATTTGTTCCTAATGACTGTACACTGTTCAATATTGAATATTTTTTTGTTCTCTTGTGAAACTTAAATTTCAAGCTGACTGAACTAATCAATCAAACCTTTTAGACAACAGGTTGTTTGGTTTTTTTTTCAGTGCTGTGCTTGGGCAGTGTAAGCTTTGGCTTGGAGAGAAGGGCATTGTTTGAGGCATGCTTTCATTTGGAGATTTTTTTGTTTGTTGTTTTTTCTAGAAAAATCTCTTCAAAAGCAGTTTAATACACATGTGACAATTATAGTCTGTACGTCCCTAAGTAGAATGCCGAGATCCTGTGTATTTGTACAATGAGTTATTATTTCCATAAGATGCTTCCTGTTTTATTAAAACAGAGTTATTGTTTTAATACTGAAACTGTGGTTTTTGTTTTAAGAGTTACTAAAAAAATAAAGTTGGCAAGTGATAGTTTATAGAGATTTCTAGTGGTGGAACAAGGGTATAGCAAAGCTCTTTTCCTAATTTGGGTCTTGAGTTTGACACAATGTGTATAACTGCATTCAAAAGCTGCCCATTCAAGAGAATTCTGAAATATTTAGGAGGTCATAGTTGACAGCTTATGATAGAGTCATTTAGGATTATGAGCACAGCCATGCCACTGTTTTCAGTCATTTACCTGGTAATTTCCAAAGTAATGCAGATGTTTGGAAGTAGTTAAGTTCTGCTAGGTCAATCTTTTCTTGTTGCCACTTTGAAGTGCTACTTTGTGTACTCTGCTTTTCAGTTGTTTCTTTTAGAGATCGGAAGTTTGGTCACAGGAAAAGCAAACTAGGCAGACAAGTCAATTCAGTTCTTTGATATTTTTCAGTTTATTTGAAAGGGTGTATCCAACATGAAGATATTAAAACAAACAACCCCAAGTTGTAAATAGGGGCACCTGTTCTATGGAGACTTAAACAGTCTTTATGTTAATACAGTGAGTTGGATGGTGCATTTTACATATGCAGAGTATATACTGTATACAAAATAGATTTGTCATAGTCTTATAGCTGGAGATCAAGGGAGATGCTGGAACATAAACTTCTAATGCTGTCTGGTTGGGGACTTGCATTCTATAAAATTGAAATAAAATTGTCTGAATTTTCAAAATGCTCATCTCTGAGTTAAGTGTTGGGCTTTTAATTAAAAGTACTTTAAGACTATAAAGTAGTATATTAGTAGACTTTGTAGTGGATTTTCATAGATTTGCATGTATGATAATATCAGGAAATTGTTTTAAGTGTCTGAATTGCAGGTGTGTTCTGCAATTGTGTTCTGCACATTCAGGTGAAAAAAAAACCTTAATTGCATTAACATTGTAGAGATATAGGTGAAAGCCTTGTAAATGCCTATAAATCTGCTTCTGAAAGTGCTGGCTTTCTTTCGTGGCCAGAGAAACCCACAGCGTGGATCTGCTAACTGATATGTGATGAAAAAAAGTAATTTGCTTTGTTCCTGGATTTTCTGTTAGAAAGTTGGGGTTTTTTGTTTGTGGGGTTTTATTTGGTTGGTTTTGGTTTTTTGGTTGGTTTTTTGTGATGTTTTTTTGCTTTTGTTTTTGGGGTTGTTTGTTGTTTTTTTTAGCATGAAGATATTTTGGATGAAAGTCACCCTAATGTCAGGAAAAGAAAAAGGAGATGGTCAGTGTAACCAGAATTCTTGATCTTACACCACCTAGAAATGGGAAGAAGATGCTCATGGTTCAGTTTAGCACTCCTTGAAAAGTGGTTGTACAGTAAAAGTTAAAAAGTAAAAGTGACTAGTACCAAGACATATACAACAATCCTTAGTTGTGATTTCTTTAATTCCTTTTTTAAAAGATACGAAAACCTTCTGCTTGCATTACTATATAGTAATTGCATACTTCTATAGCTTTTCTTATTTCTTGCTGTTTGTGTACTTTTAGTGTACATAGAACCAGATACATTCTTGGTATAAAAAACAATGCATTGTTAAACATTTCCTACCAGATGTGACTGAGGAAAATGATGTATAGTCTACTTCTGAGTACGTAGAACTGCACAAAAAGAGAACTTGTGGCTGATTTGTGAGAGTGTGTGTGGAAGAACTGATCAAAGTCCTAAGATTCAAGTATGCATATTCAGCTGTCATTTCCTTTGCTAGTCATGATTCATTCTTAATGGATGGTTGTATGATAATATACATAAAGGTTCATGGAAGAATGTTTAATCACTTGTAGTAGCAGTATACCCAGCTTTTTATTCATTGCAGAGATTGTGTGGTGCTGAGTTAAAATTGAGACCTAGACACAGTGCCTTATTCGTTACAGTATAGTAGAATTACTCTAAAAGTAGAACTGCTTTAGGTGAGGTTTTCTACAGATCTCCCTGACACAGTGTGAGTGTCTTGTAAGCACTTTATTATTTTTCCTGTTCCTGAGAGAAGCCTGAAATCACTTGCTTTCTAGATAAGCGATAGCATGAAATGTTTAAATACCAGAAAACTTTGGATGCAGTGATTAAAGTGAGTAGGTGATGCACATTTCTACTAACTTTAGAAGCTCAGATTGTAGCTGTTTCTGGCTTTGGCTGTTGGCTTCACATCAGACATCCACAATATTATCAATTGATTGTAAGAAATGTAAGTGATTTGTTTATCTTTGGATAGTAGCCAAGATACAGACTCAGGGTGTTTTTTAGGATGATACCTTCCTAGTTCTTTTGTGGCTCAAAGACTTTTTTATCTAGAACAATGTCCACAGGAAATCACACTCCATTCTTTAGTTTAGCTGATTTTCAGAAAAAAACCCCAACTTGTAAATGTGTGACACATGCATATAGCTACAATTTGTAGATAACCTAATGAATGTTTTTCTGCCATGGTAGTAGTTGAATGACCAGAGGCTGACAGCTGGAAGCTGATAGTGTTATGTCTATGTGAATGTGCACACAGCCATTACATGTTTGTGTTACAGCAGCTTTGATGAATGGCATTGTGAAGATTGTCTTCAGTTTAGGCAGTTCTTTTCGAAGGTGGAGGAACTTACTAGCACTGGATTTGTGTGATACTTCTGTATTCTGTTTTGAGCACTTCAGTCATAATGGGCCATTATATGTGTGCCTTTATTGTGTGATGGTCTTAGTGTTTATGCACTGGAATCAGGACTTGAAGAATACAAGGTATTGCTCATGATGAAGCATCCTGAGAAGCATTGGCTTTTTGGCATGTACCTTCCAAGTATGTTGCAATGCAACAGGAAGGTGACTGAACAGATTCCTGGCTGTCTTCATTCTAGAAGAGAACAGGCTGCTATCTCCAGGATATTTCATCCAGTTCACAGTCTATTTTCAAGTTCCTGTTGAGCAAGAGATGAACTAGAGGCATACTGGAAGGACAGGCTATGGTTTTGAATAGCTCTGTTCCACCATGCAAAGTCTGTTGACTTCAAATGTAAATAATGTTTTCTTTTACATGTAACTTTTTCATAATGTCTCAGTTAAAAAGTGATAGTATCTTACATCTGAGTGTCTTAAGAAGTGGGTGTTACTAATTCAGTGATCTAAGGACTTTTTTTTCTGTTTTTAAATCAGAAATCATGGAAAAATCGGGTGAAGAAGGAATGCCTGATCTGGCTCATGTTATTCGTATTTTAACTGCAGAGAATATCGCTAATTTACCACCCGGAGGTGGTTTAGCTGGCAAGTGAGTACATTACTGGAATTTCTTAAACCGTTTAATTCATTGAAACAAATGCTTATTGAAGTTATACTATACTAAAATGAAAGAAGAAAGTTGGGGTATATATTTTAAGCTAGTTTACCTTTTGCACAGTGTAAACATTTGTGTCACTGTTCCCATTCTAGAACAGTTAAGAGGAAACAGATTGATCATGTTCTGGTATATAACATACTAATTTAGTCTTTCCACATGGCCATTTAAAAAAAAAAAATAATCTTGGCTTTTTACTGCTTTACATGTTGTAAGGACTATCAGTAATGTAATGGGAATATAATCTCAGTTTTCCTGAATCCTGTTCCTTCCACCACCTAATGTCATTCTCAACAGAAAGTTGGTTTTCTTTGTTTAATCTTAAACTCAGTGTTAGATAAGCAATTGGAGCAAAAATTTATGAATTATACTGATTCTCTGTGGAGGCTAATGTTTATATTCTAACAACATACAATTTAAGGATCTTAATGAACAGAATTAGGGATTGCATAATCAATTGTTACTCTAGAATTCCCCAAACAGTGGGACCTTATTATTATTGCTGCCTAGCATAGCTCATCTTGCTTCAGGAATCTTTGTATCTTTCAAAATATGAAGTCCTGCCCTCTGAACGTTTGTGTATACATCTTTTCACTGCATGTAGTTTCTAATGAGCACTGTTTGAGCACCATTATTATTTTTTTTCTAGACTTAAAAGTACCTATCCATTCTGGTCTTTTTTCCCCACTTGTGTGCGTTCCAGGCATTCAGAGAAGTTGTGGCATGCCTATTTTACTGCCTCCTAGCTCATTAATAACTGCATCATGTACTGCTTCAGTGTATTGGAATCTTTGCGTATAAATTCTGTTTCAATTTGTTGTGACCCATGTTACATTTTTAATGAGCTTAGCTTCAGAATTTGCCTGTTGATGTCTGTCTTTCCATTTTGACTTTTGAAGTCCTGCTTTACATGAATAATTCACTTTGTTCTTTTGTTTGAACTGCAAGACCTGGCTCAAACAGGTTGCAGGAAGAGCTTGTCTGTGGCTGACATCCTTGGTTTTAGCACCAATTGTAGTTGCTCCTGATTTTTTAATATATCTGATCTGGAGAAACACAATGCAATGAAAAGTGTATGTAGACAAATTTCAGAAAGCTCATCTACTGCCACTGTGTACTTTCTCAAGCTTCTCACTTGTGTAGCCTGTACTGGCTCATTCTTTGAGGCAGGTCATCTAAAGGTATCCACTGCGATATGGTCACTTGATGGTGGTATTTTATCCTTTTAAAATCTTACTCTTGAAGACTGGCTTCTGGCTTGACTTGAATCCCCCTGTAACTTCAAATGCTGCCAAAAGAATGGTCACTTTTTGCTGAAGAAAACCGGAGTTCTGAGCCACCCTGTCACTTGGGCATTAGTACTTCCACTCAACATTCTGCCCCTAAATTTTCCCTTCAAAAGCAAGTACAAAAAATAAGCTGTTCCAAGAAAGAAAAGCGAGTTGAAAAGATAGGAACATTTCCAAGGGCTTGAGGTTTAAGTCTTAACTTAAACCCTGTGCAATGGCTATCTGCTGCTTCTGTGGCAACTTTGGTTGGACTGTCCAGGAGTTTTGTTACAGGGATGTGAGATGCCACTGCTTACTATGGCACAGACATTTGGTCAGAATTGTGCTATTCCACCTTTACTAAATATGGAACAAAATGGAGAGAATCCCTTCCCTGTATCATCTGTGTAAAGATTGTTTCTTTTCTCTAAGAAAATATTCCATCAGTGCTGATATATCTCACACTAGCTCAGCCATTCAATCCTTCCAGAATTCTTACAGCATTGACTTTAACTAGTGTGCCCTTGGAGAAGTTGTGTTCTTCAGGGGGCTTTTCATATTGGACATAGTTTTTTTGAAGTGTCACTACCTATTTAATTCTGAACTTCTTTCAGGAGCTCATTCAGATACAGCCCAAAACCTTCATGTGTGAACAAGCACAGATTGCATATACACCAGTGTCTTGAGCCTTTGTTCGGCATCATCTGTTGCACCTTTTGGGCGTCTTGCTGTGGCGTGTCTAGATAAATGCTGATTTCAGCATTGACAGATATTGCTTCTGAACACATGATAACAAGATGTATTTTCAGTGCCATAGGTTGGTGGTCATCCTGGGACTTTGATTGCATTATCCCTCGCTTTCTTTAGGCCACAAACCATCTCCCAGAGTTCTGAGTGTTTTACTAAGTACTGTTTTAAATGCTGGATCATGACTAAAAAAAAAATGCCTTCTGATGCTGGATGCTAGGTAATGAGGTTATCTGATTTATTTCTTTATCTCAGAAGTCCCCATAACTGCTACATTTCATTCAAAACTCAAACTCTTCTGTTTTGAATCAACTTTTGCTTCCATTATATGAACGTAAGAACTGCTCATACTAGATCAGACCAAGGATTGTTCTGTTTGTACCCTGCCCTAAGGATAGGTGAAAGTAAATGGGAAGAACCTGGAAAAAATGTAAAATACTTCCCTGTTATTGCTTAGGTTTTGATCTGCTTGCAGCTAAAGTGCTTCCCCATCTTGAGATAGTTTGTGTGCTTCATGACTTAGAGGTGCTCTTTCATGAAATTTTTAATGTGTTCAGATGGAGTCTTGTCAAACTTTTTGTATCCTTAATATGCTGGAGGAGAAAATATTCTGTTGCATCATGAGCCATCACTGCATATTTTTGCCACATCTGCTGCTTTCTTTATCTAACGCCATTGTGCTCTTTGTTTGGAAGAGTCAATAGTTGCTGCTTATCCACATTGTGTAAGACATAATTATTATAGATCTTGGCAACTTTCAGACAACCAGTTCATTTTTATTGAAGCTTTCAATACCTTTGATCAGATTTATTATACTTGTCTGAACTTTTCCCAGTTCTTGATATGATTTAAAGATGCAGGGACAAAACCTTTTTATTCTCAGAAGTATATCTGTACTTTGTGGTTTATTTTTTTATATGCTTTTGTGTGTAGTTTCCTTGCCTGTGAAGGTGGAGCCCTTGCCAGGAAAAAAAAAATCTAGCTAATGGCATTTGGGTTTTAATACCTACAGTGTGAATAGACACTATAGACAACAAATCTCAGAGGTTGTATACTCTGGGCACGACCACACTTTAAAAGCTCACAGAGAAGTAGTAACCCGTGTCTAGGTAAATGAGAAATGGAGAAAAACTGTCTTTAAGTTCCACATCCAGAAATAAATCAAGAAACCAGTTCACTTGAAGAATTCTGTTACAATAAGCAAAATACAGGTTTAAATGTTAGTCTTGGCAAAGTCTGACTGTGCAGCTGGAACTTAAAAAGATGTAAAGGGGAAAATTGTGGGGAGCATAGGGGAAGAAGATGAATTGCCATGCTTACTCATTACAAATCCTCATTTACTGCTAAAACCCCAAACATCCTATCAAAAGTAAGTAAAGACACTGAGAGGGGGCTTAATCTTTTTAAGAGACAGGTTAAAGGCAAAGCATCATAAACACTTGAAAATTCTTACTGTGCTCAAACTTTGAAAGTATTAAATGTTTTAAAATACTTTGTGCTTAATTTAAAATTTCTCTTTTTTAGGCGTAATATTATTGAAGCTGTGTATAGTAGGCTGAACCCACACAGAGAGAATGAGGGGGTAAGTTCCCATTTTGATAAACTTCTTTGTTAATGAGAACATCAGAGTAGTGTCATGCATTAAGCAAAAGGTGTGCATCACTAGCAATAAAGTATTATAAATGAGTATTATTATAAAAATTAGTAGTAGTATACAAATACTTATTGTAGCATATAGTTAAATTTGGCCTTGTTTTGGATGGGTCTGATACAGAACTTGATCCTCAAAAAGACAGGAAACTGACACCAAACTAAAACATTTTTTTAAACATTTAATTGACTATTGCTTTTTTTCATCCAAATCTGTGAGGCAACAATACATAGTATTTTCCAAATTATAGTATATTATGGTAAAAAATTACGGTCAGCATATTAATTGCTTAACTAGCTATTGTATCTAATGTCCAAAAATCTAGTAGAAAACAGGGCAAACACACTTCCTATCCTCTTCTGTAAGTGTGGAAAACCTTGATACACTGCATATAAATATAACAAGACTATATCGACTACTTTTTTAGAGTTTGCACTACCTTTTAAATATCCCATGTGCAATGATCTAAGGAAAGCATAAAGTGATTTTAGTTTACTTTAGTTCTGATTTCTAAAATTACTTATGTTCTTCTGCCCAGTTCCTAAAAGTTGAATTTTAAATTGTATGTTGAAATCTGGTTGACTGAAACTTTAAACCTGATTACTAGGTTGTTCTTAATCTCAGTGTAAAGAGCAATAGTGTTCTTATCAATTGTGGTTAAATTTGTTTTTAAAAAATCTTTGGGAAACTGAAGAAGGAATAGAAACATCACTGCTCATGGGTACACATTGTTTTCTGTGTAGATTATGTGAACTAATATGTGAAGATACCAATCATCTTCTAGTAAATCCTTTGCTATTTTTTTTCTCTTCTGAGATGGCTGCAAGGTCCTTGGGTAGTCATTATATTGGATGGTGGTGCGGAGATTTCAACTTTTTTTTTTGATACGCATAAATGATGAATTATGTGCCTTGAGATTTTGAATATGCATTCTCACTACAATTATGAATGTTTTCCCACTGTCATCTTCTGTTGGTTGCCTGTATTTGGTTTTCTCTTAAGTTAGAAAGTCTGGGTAGGTGGAAGGGGCCTGTGTTCTGTTAGAATACAAATAGAGAACAAATATCTAACTTCTTAATGTTTAGGATTTGTTCCTTTTTTTTAGTTAAAAAAATGACAGTATATAATGTTCATTTAACTTTCAACAGATTGTGCAACAGTACCCCAAAGAAAGCTAGACAAAATTTTACCAGCTTCTTTAGTCCTTCAGGAAACTCTGCACCTCTATCAGCCTGCTAGTACTTTCATGTTTAGCAGTAATTTTGTTCCTGCTTTTGGGGTAAAGTTATTGGTGAAAGTGGTTTGTGTGAAGGTTATGGCAGTTGGTTAAGTTTGGTGTTTTGGATTTTTTAAGGAAAAAGAAGTTCATCTAATGTTAACTTTCTAGATACCGTATGCTATAGTTACGTTTCTGATGCATCTTTTCTAAGGAAAATTTACTTGTCCATAGGCATGCAAGCTTGCTGAAAGTCCTAACATATAGTACAGCATCTTTCTCTGTATTTGTTGCTCCAGGAAATTCTTGTGCATCATCAGTTATAATTTATTAAAATGAGATAACTAAATATGCAAATTACTTATGAAACAATATAGCTTTAACTCTTATTGTTGTTAGTAGTGTTGACCTTTACTGCCATTAGAATCCCTGGATAGTTTTTTTGAGTCCTTTTAAATTGGCTTTTTGAGCATGAAGTGTGAGCAGTACACTGCAGTCTATTTCATAAACTTTGCCTTCTGTTACTCTTCAGTGCAAATCTTGATAATGATGTGTTTTCAAGTACACTGGATTAAATTTTAGTTTGGTCTTGAGGTAAGATACCATTTTTCACTAAGTTTGTTTTCATCTTTTCATGCTAAGTGGTTCTGACCCAGAGCAGTTTGAGAGGAGAACGTGTTCTGAGTGAAGGATGCAATTCCAGTTTACTCTTTGTCAGCAAGTAGGAATTGCTATCTTACTGTTTTGGAGGTGAATTAATTTAGTGGTCCTCATCTCTGAGGTGATTAAAGCATGACTTCCTTGCTAGTCTTACTCAGTTCCAGGTATATATGTGGTGATCTTAGTCTTTTGAACTGAATATTCAGTGCGTGGGTGGGTAAAAGGGAAGGAAGCTGTTCAGTTACTCAACATCAGACTCTCCACAATGTCTACACACTCATGGTGTTGCTACACATCTCCTGTTTAAACAGGAAGCAAAGGTAGGAAGGAAACATACAGTACATCCCAATTATGACATTCCCAAGTGAGACTGAAATCTAACTAATAATGTCCCTGTTAAAATATACATATAGATAGATAGATGTGTAGAACGAGGGAATGAGGAGTGGAAGAAAACTTGCTGCAGCAGCATTCAGAGGTCATTAGTGTGGCTTTCAGGGTATAGCAGTCACAGGGCTTTTTTTCTTTTAGACATTTCAGCAGAGTTCAAGTATTACATAAATCCAGAGTTGGAGAAAGCCCTGCAGTAATCTCACGAAGAGCAATTTTGCCAGGGTTTGGTTTCAGCAGAGGGACTTCTGGTATAAATGTAGTGGCTTGTGAAGAAGTTGTAGAGGTCTTATGTATTGCAGCTTGGTGTTTTCAGGTCTTTAAAGGGAATTTAAAATAACTGCTTCATAGCTAAGCAGTTGATACCACTGTAATGTTACAATTCTACCAAGTCATTGTTCTAGTTAAAATGCTAAAGTATTACTCTTTCTATAATGGCTCTACTTCTTCAACCATCCTTTTGATGTGTTCCTAAGAGTAGGAGGCTACTGTCTGATTAGGCTGCATGAGTGTTCATGTATTCTTGAACAGAAGGAGCAATGCTACAGTTACAGTGGCTATGTTAACAGTTTCAGTGGCATTTAAAGTGGTGTTTGACTGTCATTTTTGAAACCAGTCACGTTTCTCTTGTGCTTTTACTAATGCTATGGCACTTTGCTGAATCAAATCAAATGCTGTCATTAAAGGCTGCTACAGATTATTTTAAGAATTTTGTCTTTTTACATTTCTACACACTTACACATTCTAAGTCCTGTCCCTAATATGTAGCAGCCTTTTTTATATACAACAGAGCAGAACTTGTGTAAAAAATGTGAACACTCATGTTAAATATAACTAGCAAAAATAAATTTTTGTTTCTGTGGTCAGTAGCACTGAGTTGAATTATAACATGAGGAAAGATAAATGCTGATTTGCACAGTAATCATAGTTTTCAGGTAGCCATGGATCATTAGAGAGAAATCTGCACCATAATGTACATGTAGTGTATAGTATATAATAAAGGCAGTTTCTATCCTACTATTGTTTGTCAGGCTTCTTGTCTGCTAGCACTGAGGGAGGTGGAAGCACAAAATGGCCCAGCTTCAAACAGTGCAAAGCAGGATGTGAGTTGGAATATCAAGCACTAACAGCACTGTTGCTTCAGCTCCTACTGGCATTTGAATTGTTTTGGAGTCTCAAAGCTGCTATTATATTGCTTATTGCTTTTACTCCTAAGTGTTGCATGGGGGCAAAAGTATTCACTTCAGTTTGCCAACAGAATTTTTAAAGATCTGAATACTGTGAAATGTATTTCAGGTTGTATGTTTGCTAATGTCAACCTTGGAGCAAAACTGATGGGATAGAGGAACCACAGAATTTCGAGGTTCTCTGAAGTTAAAAACACTGGAGTTCTTGAGCTGTCCTGTCTTGTTTAACATTAACTACATAAATACATAAATAGAATTTTTTGTCAAAACGTAAGGAATAGGATACATTGGTAGCCTGATCTTGATGTGCAGTTTCCACTAACTTTGTGTTCATGGGTTCAAGCAGTCCTGCTTCATACATAAAAACTACATTCTCTAACTTGCTTCTTACTGGGCTCTTGAAGAGCTATCTCAATGAAATGCTAGTACATAGGAGTCAAGACATTTCAAACTAAGACCAGGAAACCACAGTGGAAGTATATCTCTATATGCAACAGGTGAAGCTTCAAGGGATAGCACGATATGCAGTAACACTAATTTTTGTGGAAAATTTGTCCCCTTTTTAACTTAAACTGCAGCAGTCAGTCCTGGGGCTTCTATTCCAACAACATCCAGAATCTTCTTGAACACAAGATGATATCTTAATTTTGCTATTAAGCTTGTGAGTGACTGCAGTACTTGTAGTCTGTGAATCTTTTTGACTAGATGACAATAAAATGAGGTCAGCATGAGAAAAAGGCAATCTGGATTTTGCCTCTAATGTATTGTGAAACCTGCCAGCTTCCAGAGATGGTTCAATTTGTCTAGCTTGGTAACTTGGTAGGTATTAATCATTTACAATGTCCCATTCCCTTAAAGCAACAGTACTCCTTTAGCCCTTTAAAGTTCCTTAACAGATGGATGGGCAACTCAATTTCAAAAAACCAACCAACCAAAAAAAGCCAAGAGCACCACAGCATTTTTTTTGGTCAACTAAAGGTTCGTAGCCAAATAGGTGGTTTGCAAAGGGCACCTCCATTCTTAATCAGTGCTTGTTACTCAGGCTTTGTGCTGTAGGTTGTTAGGTTTGACTTTGAATAGCTGTTCTACCTAGTAACTTTTCTAGGCAATACACACATCTGTACAAAATAGTCTTGTTACATGGTTCAAAATGCCAGCACTCCTGGTGCTGCTAGATAACTGTGTGTTGTTTTTGTGCCAGGATCATGCATGTGAAAATCAGTCTTTAATGAAGAGAGATTGTTTTCTGCAATGCTTTGAGCATTTGCTTTTATGTGATACTTCAAATAAACTGCTAGCAGTGGAGTTATCTCTTCTCTTAGCTAAGTTTTTCACAGATGTGTGTTGGTATTGGTGGTGCAGAAATTCACAAAGTATTGACCTGATGGCTAAAGAAGCTAAAATTTTAAAATTTTTCACTGACAGCAACCACAGTTGTGGGGAATGTCAGTTACACTCACTGAAAGACAGTTTGAACCACAGTGGAATTAATTGGGAGAAGGTACCATGTTGGCACTGTCTGGCTCAAAATAAATAAAAATTATTTAAAATGCTCTTGTAATAGATACAGTTTATTAATTATGTTTTAGAAAGCAGACAAACATGGATGATACTGTTGTAAGTTGTGTTGTAAGGTGTTTGAGATTCCAGTAGAGCAAAGCTGATGTTTTTTCAATCAGAAAAAAATGTGATTTTTTGTGCTTTTTTTTTTTTTTTTTTTTAATTGTTGAAGGATATCCTAGTTTAACTACTGATTTTTTTGGGGTCTTGAATCTTAAAAAAAGGGCCCTGGCGAAGCCGAGGAAAGTGGAACGCAGGGAAAGTTGGTGGAAGCGCTGAGGCAAATGAGAATTAATCATAGGGGAAACTACCGCCACCTGCTGGAGGAGATGCTGGTTAGTTACAGGCTAGCTAAGATGCAGGGAGAAGAGAGCACTGCTGAATCAGCTGCTGAATCGGCTTCAGATACTCATGCTGGACCCAGTCACCTCGTACCAGACCCCCAAGCAGACTCTGAGAATCACCTTGCTGGAGTACAGAGCTCAAACGAAGATTCAGGGACGAATGAGTGAGAAACAGACATAACGCTTTACATAGTGGATTTAAGGCTTCGCTTGGTGTGTTTTCCTTTGTTTATATCTCAACGTTTGTCACATCTATCCTAGAAGTCTGTTTTTACTTTAGTTGTTTGTACAGATAGCTTATACAAAGCTCTTTTTTTCCTTAGAAGTTCAATTACTATAGTATATGCTATGAGGCCATGTGCAACCTGCTTCAGTGAGAGGTGTCCCTGCTTGTAGCAGGAAGGTTGGATCCTTATGATTTTTAAGGACCCTTCCAACCTCAACCATTCTATGGTTCTGTGATTATACTAATTACATCTTATGTTGTGTAGCAAGCAGGTAATTTCCCATTTTTGGGATGATAATTTTTTTTTAATCCTGTGACACCAACAATAAGAATCTAATAAGCTGATGCAAAAATAAATTTTAAAACTTTTTCTTTTAAGTACCTTCTTAAGTAATAAATTTGCTGGTATATTCTTGCTAATTGTAAAGTAGTTCACATGTTAATTGTATTTCTTGTGCAAATTAATTGAATTATACCAATTCTTCAGCCTTTTTTTTTCTCAGCATCATATATTGCATGCTTGTGTTTGAATTGTGTATAATTTATACTACAACAAAGTTACAAAAGCTGTTGTGTTTTAGGTTGTTACTTAGTCTTCATTAAATACATTTGGTTTTTTCCAATTTAGATTTTATCTATTGTTCATCATAAATATCTTCTTCCTAGATGTCTGTATTATTATTTCCCAGGTTGTAGCATAACATATATCCAGAAATGAAAATGTACTTAGACTTAGTACCTAGTATCAAGTTCTCAGAATTTGTGTTCAAGTGAAAATAAAGAATATGCTGTGGAATCATATCTGTATGCATATTGACTCTTTTAAGCAAGTAATAAACTTCCTTCGAACTTATATCATTCTGACATGACTTGAAACTTTTCATAGCTTCTGATATTAAGTCATTATGTTAAATAGTTTCTTAGAAATATCTGAATAATTTTGGGTTTGGCACATTCATCATAATCTTCTATTTGGGTAGCATTTCCCCAGGTTCAAGCTAAAACATCAGCCATATAAAGGAATAAACTGGCTATTCTACCTGGTTGTACCTTCTACCAAATCTTTTCTGTGTCTTTTGGTGTACAGCACGTGTATGTATAATAAGCATTTGGGTAGATCAGTAATAATACTGGGAATTTACAGTGATGGTAACTAATCTGCTAATAAGTTAAATCTGAAATTCTTGTGTCAGTGGTCACTTCATAATACAGCACTTGCACAAATATGTCATTGCTCAAAATAGGTACAAATTTTACTGCCTTAATGAAAAAGAGACTGCAGGAATTTCTGGTGAACCAAAAACACCTAAAGAGCTGAGTTCCTTAGTATTTTATAGATATATTGTTACTGGTCCATAGATGTAGTATCTACTGACAGCTGTGATTTAGTACAATTTTAGATAATACTAGTTTTTAAGTCTTTATGCTTTAATAGCTTTATTGGGTTCATGTTTTAAAAAAGTAAATTCCCTCATGAAGCTGAAGAACAGTGAATGTTTGTGCGTAGAAGTGGGCAAGTATGGAAAAGAAAAGGAAAATGTCATCTTTGTAACTCTAGCATTCTACATAATTATGATACTTAAATCCAAAGTGCAACAAAATGTTTTGATTTGCCTTGGTGAGTAGTAATATTTCTCCTCTTCTCTTTCTGTAGGGTGCTGGAGATCTAGAAGATCCGTGGTAGCCTTACAAATCTACTAAAATGCTTTTGATTCTGAAAGGGGGAAAAAAACTTTTAAATCTGTTTTCTTCAATACAAGGGAAAAATTCTGGTGGATTTCCAACATTTTGTGAAATGGGCAGAAATATATTAGAATTTTCCATCATTTGTTCATTTTTGTGTTTTCTGATATTGCCACTCTTAGCATTGCCTGTACTACAGTATTTTTACCAGCCTCAGGCATACTGATTACATCTGTAACGAACTTTGGCCCTAAAAAGGAAGGAAGGAAGGAATTATTCTCTCAGCAGATTGGTATATGTACCTGAGGTGCATGGGATTGTAGGCATACTCTGAAGATACACTGTGGCTAAATGAAGTGTGCAACACACAAGCATGAGAGTACAAGTAATTGTTTGAGATGCTACTTATTTCACTTTGAGTTGGAAGGCTTTGCAGCTCTGTGGCTTGGAAGTAATTTCAGTTGGGCAATACACTATCAGATGTGTATTACTTTTTTTTTTTTTAATTTTCCAGTTTTACCTGTATTACCAGACCGTTAGGTTTCCCTGCGGTGTCCAAATTGTGATGTGTTGCCTACTGCTTGCTTGAGGATAAGTGTATTTGGCAATAAAATATGAAGATTCTTGGCATCTAAAACCAGTAAGAATTTTACGCATGTGTACAACACACCCTTAAACTCTTGCTAGAGAAAATCTTTTAAAACCAAACTGATGAATTTATAGTTAGTAGTGACTTGCTTTGACATCTCTCACAGCTGCAAGTTTTTTTAAAAATGCTGAAAATTTGCCTTTATTATCATGTAAATTGTGATTATTTTTTTGTTCTATATGTGGTTTTCTATAGTTTTTTGATTATTTTTTTCAGCTTAAGATACAGACAGAAGTCTTGTGTAATATGGGTATAATTTTTAATTGTTTGCATTATTTTCAAAGTTCAAATTATCACTTTGAGATTACTATAAATACACTTAAAATTATCTATTTTAAATTAAGAAAATATTAGAGATATTTTCATGGGTTCGATGACCTTTCATTTTATAAGCAATGGGCATGGTACAGAGTGGCTGTCACGTAAGGTACTTGAAGATTCTTAGTTTAATTCTATTTTTGCAATAACCTTGACTTTTTTTCTGACTTCTTTGAGTTGTGCATGTAATGAGTCCAGTAAATGCTGAAATGGGGAAGAGTAAAGTATTTATCTAAAATAAAAGCTATTGGGGAGGGGAAACAATGAATGTATCCATCTGTACATGATTTACATGCTGTGGATGCCTTGTAAACATTTTCCTATTTGTTTAAACTGTGTTTCAGCGAGGATGTAATTGCCCTTGTGTGTAGTTTTAAGCTAATGACAGTCATCAACTGGTTTTGTGTGAAATTGAATTAATGGTATTTTTCTGTAACTTTATCCCCATGGTGAGTCTGTAAAAACCACACGCTCTTTCATACTGGTGTGCTGAAGGCCAGCTTTCCCAGTCATTTTGATTCACTGTCTTATCTGATTATTTTTTTTTTATTTTTTTTTTATTTTTTTTTTTGGTCTAGAGAGGATTATTGCCACAGTATATTTTATTTATTCATTAGATTTTAGCCTTGTAAGTTAAAGTGTTCTAAATGATGATGTTAACAGGTATTTGTCCCTTTTACTGTTTTGGGTTTTTTTGGGGGTTGTTAAAAGATAGGGAATGAAGAATGCAAAATGGTTTATTGTTCAGACTGTCCGCTCTGGTCCAACCCTGTACTGATAGTACCTTCCCAGTATGATATTGTGATGTTTCATACAATACAGTGAACATAACCAACTTGTTATCTTCAATAAAGGATTGCTAAAACAGTGTGATATGCTTTATATTTTCTTGAGAAGGGTTTATCAAGAGGATGCAACTTTTCTATATTAAAAGATAATCAAATAGGATTTATGAGCTGTCTTAGTGGTGGATTTGTGTTCTATAGCAAACATGGCTCTTTGTTACAATAAGCTAGAAGTCTAAGACGCCTTCTCTGTAGGAAACAGAAGAGTGCAAACATCTTTTAGAGCTCCTAGAGCAAATCCATCCCAAGTTCAACTGGAATGAGTCTTATTCCAGCTACAAGAGAGCGTTTGTTTGTATCTAGAAGTTCAGATTAAACTTGACTCCTTAGTTGGTTCGTTTACTGAAGTTTTTTATGATCTGAGGTTACACCTGTGAAGTTTTACTGTTGTGTGGTGTTTTGGGTAGGAATTTCTCCAGTATTATCACTCAGGTTAAAACCTTAATGATGTATTTATTTTTTAACTTATTAATGAAGTGGTTTAACTGGGTGGCAAAGGAGACTGAAATCCTGTTAATGACTTGTCTGAATACTTAGTGTTACTGTGGAATGGGTCTATTTATGAACAATCTGTAGATTTTTGAGTCTTTAAATTCTGTAAGTTTTAGGAAATTTTTTGTTGGATCTGCTTGTACAGCTTATGCTTGCATGCTTTCCTCATGAACTGCAATGTTAATACCTTGTTCCACTGGTAGGAATTACTGTGCTTTATAGGCTCCTGTCCTACGAACACTTAATGTGTGTAGGTTTATTTACATCATGTGGATAGTATCCCTGAAAAAAAGGGTTTATGATTTTATTGTGTAGAAGGTTTTTCAAAGAGAAGGACCACAGCTTAGCGCACAGCTATAACAAAATGTGAATCAAGACATCTTTTTTTGTCCCTCTGAACTAGCACTACTTTCCACTCATAGATCCACTGGGTTCCAAATTCTAATCATGTTTTTAGTTTTATCAAAATATTTGAGCTTTCAGCAGCCTGGGAAAAACAAAAAACACCTGTGTTTTTTTATTCTCTTCTTAAGTCTTAGAAGTCTGAAGATTTGATAAAATTTGTTCATGTATTTGCCTTAACTTGTCCATTTTAACATTTGTTTTAAAATGCTCTTTTAGTTATATTGCCACCTGGTAACTAATGTAAAGGTACTTCTGTAGGATGCTGAGAGTGGGGAATGTCTCTTCCACCTCAGATCTTTCTGATGTGTCAAATTCTGCTTGACTGCTTATTTTTTCTGACTTCTGTAATAGGGACAAAGTAGTCCATGTCAGTTCTCAAATCTTCTCTCTGATAATTTTGAGCAAAATAAAGTTTTAAGTCATCCTCATTAACATGTTAAACAGAATAGGGAATAAAGAAATGGATGTAAGTATAAGTGATGTCATCCTGACCATCTCAATAGGCTCATACGGGAGATTAACTACAATGAAAGTCTCCTCTTAAACTGGA